GGGGTGCTGGGGGTGGTTATGGGGTGCTGGGGGTGGTTATGGGGTGGTTATGGGGTGCTGTGGGAAGTTGGGGGGCGGTTATGGGGTCCAAGGGGTTCTTTGGGTGCTGGGTACCCCCCCGATCCGCCCTTCGTGCCCCCCAGCTGATTTTTGGGGGTGCTGGGCTGAGGCGGGGGGCAGTTATGGGTCACTCCTGGGTCCATGGGACGCTGATGGGCGCGGGGGGTGCTGGGGGGGCTCTGTGGGTGCTGAGCCCCTCTGTGCCCCCAGCTGATTTTCGGGGGTCGCTGGGCCGAGGCCGGGGGGCGCCGCTGGCACCTGCGGCACCTGCGCTGCCTGGAGTGCGAGGGACCCCTGGACCCCCAGAGCCTGCCCGGGGGGGGGCAGCCCCTGTGCCCCCCCTGCCGCGCCCGCGGCGCCCACCTGTGCGACACCTGCGGGGACCCCATCGGTGAGGGGGCTCGGGGGTCCCGGGGGGGCTGGGGGGTCCCAGGGGGCCCTTAGAGGGTTCAGGGGGGGTTAGCGGGGGTCCTGGGACTGTTGAGAAGATGCTGGGGGGAGTCAGGGGACCCCAGAGGTGTCCAGGTGCTTCTCAAGGGGTTCCAGGGGGGTCCCGGGGGATTGGGGGGATCCTCCAGGGGTCTCCAAGGAGATCCCAGAAGAGATCCCAGCCCCCATTTGTGTCACGGCCCCCCTGCATCCCCTCTGCCCCCTCCCCAGAGCTGCAGGCGCCCCACGTCACCCTCAGGGGCAGCACTGGCACCCCCCTGTCCCTCATTGCGCCCCCGTCCCCCCCCGTCCCTCACTGTCCCCCCCTGTCCCCCCTGTCCCCCCCTGTCCCCTGTCCCCTGACTGTCCCGCTGTCCCCAGACCTGCAGGCGCCCCACGTCACGCACCGGGGGCAGCACTGGCACCCCCTCCCCGGCTGTTTCCGCTGTGCCCCCTGCGGGCTCCCCCTGCTCGGCCGCCCCTTCCTGCCCCGGGGGGGGCAAATCTTCTGCTCCCCCCGCTGCGCCCAGGGACCCCCCCGCGCCCCCCGCAGCGCCCCCCAACGGCGCTCCTGGGGCGGGGGACCCCCAGCAGGTGAGGGGGGGCACTGGGGGGGCACTGGGGAGCACTGGGAGCACTGGGGGGGCACTGGGGAGCACTGGGGGGCACTGGGGGGGCACTGGGGGGCACTGGGAGCACTGGGAGCACTGGGGGGCACTGGGGGGGCACTGGGGGGCACTGGGGGGGCACTGGGGGGC